TATAACGTGTTATATGACGGACGCACGGTCGTGTAAGGCGCATTTGTTACGAAAAACAACTATAACTAATGTACATTAGTTATAACTAATGAACATTCGTTATAGTGGTTTTTCGACCAAACCGCGCTTTCTTTACGTTTTTTTTTTCGTGTTACTTGATAACGCTTGTATGTTGATGTTACGTGTCATTGGAACAATAGTTTGAAGTTGTTAGAGCGCCGAGACACTCACAACGAGTCTCTTTTTTTTTGAAATAACAACACTTGTTATTTGCTTTTGTTTTTGCAAAATGAAAGATGATGTGGAATATTTGTAAATTCTTTATTTTACATGAAAAAATGAATAAAATGAGACCAATAACGATCTTAACATCTTTATAACGTGTTATATGACGGACGCACGGTCGTGTAAGGCGCATTTGTTACGAAAAACAACTATAACTAATGTACATCAGTTATAACTAATGAATATTCGTTATAGTGGTTTTTCGACCAAACCGCGCTTTCTTTACGGTTTTTTTTTGAAGACACAACTATAACATTTTTGTTGGTCATATATCACCATTTAACGTTAGTTTGGACCCGTTAGAGTGCCGAAATAATCATAAGAAACTCTTTTTGAAATAAAGTTTTTTTTTTTTTGTCTGTCGCGACCGCGATGGGTGTCGCTCCCGTGACGTCGTGAGAGGAAGTCTGTCCGGCTCGTGTGTCGCGTCCGCGAGATTCCCCGCGCCCGCGACGTCCTGGGAGCCTGTCTGTCCGCGTGTGTGTCGCGTCCGCGAGATACGCCGCGACCGGGGGAGAAAAATCGTTTTTTTTTCATTCTCCATTCCTCTTCATAAATTTGACCTAAGAAGAAGAAAGAAAAAAACCTATCCGCCAACTTCCACATCCGGCCACCTACTCCGACCGGCGACAACACCACATCCGACCATCTACTTCGACCGGCGAGGACACTCCATCTTTCCGGCAACATAAATTCCAGCCAAGTTGTCTTCACAAAAGAGCCCTAATTCCCGATATCCCATTCCGGCAACGACAAGGTTGTTTTCTCGACTTCACCGCACGGTAAGGTGTCACTCTAATTGCTTGAAGTGTATGGTTTTAATTTTTTGAGGTTTGAGGAATCTTCTACCTCTTTCTTTATTAACAATTCTCAAACACATATTTCCGCACACAAGGTGTTCGACAAATTGCCACAACTACGGAAGAGGGCTATATTGCTTGCATCCACTATTTTCCTTCGAGAGTATCTAATAACCAAGCATGGGTAAGGCATCGTCATCGAAAGGTCCCGCAAAAGGCAAAGCCGGAGGCAAAAGAAAAGCACTTGTAGAAACCCTGCCTCCTTCACCGGACTCGAACAATAGCAACTCGAACTCGGATACCGAAACTCAAACTTTGGCTCAAAATCACGGCATTCCATTCCCAGTTTTCTCTCAAGATGAGGTGCACACGTACAAACGACTCATGAAGATGAAATGCCGGATCCCACGGACACTTGATTGGGAGTTGCTAGACTCGCTAAAAATCTCGGAAGACGTGAGGAAATACTTGAAGGCCCTCAATCTTGAGAAGTACGAAGCCATGGACAATGTGGCATGCACGGAACTAGCGGTTGAATTCTTTACCAAATTTGTACCACACGACAACGACAAGTTTTTCACTTGCCGGATGAAAGGTAATGAATACAAGGTTGATAACAAGGTGATGCATGAGGTATTTGGTTTCCGCATGTCGGGGTCTCGCAAAGTACCCGGTGATTTTGAGGTGGACAAGCCTTGGGCCGCTCTCTCTCCATGCGATAAATTCAAAGTCAAGGGCCCATCGAATGGGCTAATCAAAGATGTGGCCATTGCGGTTGTACATAAATTTCTATGCTACAATATTTTTGGCAAGAAAGATTCCAACAAGGTTAGCGAGCAAGAAGTTTATTTATTGTGGGCAATGTGTACAAAGAAGCCCATATGCATTACTGCATTTGTTATGGAGACACTCCGGGGCACGAAAGTCTTTGCCACGCGCCCTCCGAGATTGGCCAATATCGTCACCGGGCTCGCTAAGCACTTCAATGTTCAAATTGATGAAGTGCCGCTTCAACCGAAGAAGATTGTGTTGTGGGATTTGGTGAAAGCGTATCTCGTTAAGGACAGCACCACGATCATTGATTTCAAACATCGTGAGTGCTACAAGGCATATTTGTCAGAGCTGAAGAATCGTCCGGAGAAGGTGGTTCCTCGCAGCCACAGTCTCATTCCGAGGACGAGGCGGAGGACGAAGAAACACATACAAACCCGGCGGACTATTTCCTCCCTCCAGCAGTTGACGCGGGCGCTGCGGACGCGCGATCTCAACAAGCTCCCGCTTGGTTCGATAAATTCATTGAGCATAATGATAGGCGTTGGGAGGAGCACAACAAGAGGCTCGATACCTTTATTGAGCATAATGATAGGCGTTGGGAGGAGCACACCAAGAGGCTCGATGAACGTTGGACCCAATGGGAGTCTCGACAATTTGATTAGTGGAAACAATGGGGCGACCAGTTCCAGCAATGGGATGTTCGGTTGAGTTCAGGCAGCAGCCTACCCTACCCTCCACCTCCACCTCCACCTCCACCTCCACCTCCACCTCCACCTCCATCATCGGATGCACATGATGCACAGTGACAGTGAGTTGTTTTTAGGCAAAGACTTTTATTCCAGACTTCATAATTATCAGTTTTATCTTTTGGATTTGGTTTGGATTTGGTTCGTGTTTTAGAATCGACATTTGGTTTTGATTTGTGATTTCGTTTGTGTTTTGGAATCAACATTTGGATTTTCAGCGTTATTTCTTATATTGCAATGTAGATTTGATTTCCAGTTTTATATTATGTAATATGCAACGAGATTGAATTCGTTAGGGTTATTTTTTGATTAAATACGACCAAAAATGACACGACTATTGTCATTACCTATCCATTTTATAAAAGAAACACGTATTGTTATTTCAAAAAATGCAATATAACGAGAATGATTTCTTTATATCGACCGAGGTCAAAATAACCATCACGACCAAGGTCGAAAATAACAAACACAACTTCTGCCAGGTCGTCGCGGGCGTGACACTTGTCGCGGGCGCGACACAAACGCGCACAGATCTGTTGCCAGGACGTCCCGGGCGCGACACATGTCGCGGGAGCGACACAGACGCTTACAGCTCTGTTGCCAGGTCCTCGCGGTGCGACGCGGGGCGCGGGCGCGACACTGACATGTTTCGGTTGGACAGAGAATGTTGCCTTCTCATCGCGGCCGCGACGAACGTCGCTCTCGCGACACTCAAGTTTTATTATTTTTTTTTTTAAACTAACGAATGTACATTAGTTATTTTATATAGTATAACTGATGTACAATCGTTATATTGAAAAAATTATATGTCGCTGTCGGGACTCGTCTCACGGCGACACTGGCCCTTTTTTGTCTTACAGAGAAGTTGGCCTCCATGTCGCGACAGCGACGGACGTCGCGTCCGGGACATTCAAGTTATATTTTTTTTACCAACTAACGAATGTACATTAGTTATTTTGTACAATATAACTAATGTACATACGTTATATTGAAAAGAATATTTGTCGCTCTCGCGACGCTTCTCACGAAAGCGACACTGGTCCTGTTTTTGTCGGACAGAGAACTTTGCCTCCATGTCGCGTCCGCGACAAACATCGCTACCGCGACACTCAAGGTTTTTTTTTTTTTTTTTTTTTTTTTTTTTTTTTTTGTCATACTAACGAATGTACATTTGTTATTTTGTACATTTGTAATATTTGAAACGACTTGTAGTCGTTTCCTCGATTTATTTTCGGGAGCTCGGCATCGAACCCCTCGTCATTTATTACATTAAAGCTTATCGTTACATTAATATTTTTTAACCATTTTGATAAAATACTGTTATAACCACTGCATTGGGAAGTACGTAAGAAATACAACTTCAAAAATCGACCACCCTCATCAATCCTTATATTGAAAGACACATGAAAAATAATACAAAAATGAATTATCCAAAAGATCCTTACAACCCATTACATATTGACTGTTTAAAACAAACTATGGATCAAAATGACCACCAAATATTTCAGACGCTAGTTTAACACGCCAATCACTAATCCGAGATTGATCGACGCCTTCAACATTTTTCCCAGCATGCAAAAATTCTATGAACTTGATAGTAAACATCCCACTATCAAACCTGCAACATAATTGTACAAATTCTATTACTTTACCAAGTTTCATAATGCACTTAAAAACCTAATATGATCAAAATATATATTATATGTACCCATTGCTTTGGCCAGGAGATGTCAACCGTTTGTACTCAAACTTTTCACCACTGTAATTGGCATTCAGCTGCGCCAGTAGCATCGGTACGACAACTCGAATGGGCTCAAGTTGCCTCTCCAGTTCTGCCCTCCGCATGACACTTGTTTCGCTATCGTAGACGTAAATGCATCTCTGGGATAGATCAATCTCCAGTGCGATCCAGTGGCCACCGCCCTCTTTGCAGAAAGGAACATACAATTTCGTACAACCAGCACACGGCTTTCCATTACTTGGTATCCCCCCTGCAGCGTAACTACGCAAGGCCTTCGGAAATTTTTTAGTCTTCGACATGTCTTTGAAGAAGTTTCTCACGTACGAGACAAAAAACGTGTCCAAGACAGCACAATCTTGTCTAAACAAGAGAGGGAACTGTTTACCACGCTCTCGAATGTGAAAAAGCGCTTCATCCACATGCTAAAAATATAATGTTTATTAGATTATTGAATATCATATTTTTCAAAGGTAAAAATATTAAATTTTTTTTTGTAAATAGTTTACCTCACTAGTAAGCCATCCATCGCTCACAAGTTGATTAAAAAAACTTTACGTGCTCGACCACCACCAGAGGACAACTCAACTTCAGCACTACATAAAAAATTACTACGTTAAACAAAGACATACAATCTTATATATTACGATAAGTAGCCCACAATTAACTTAACACAACTACATACCTTTCAGGGTAGCTCGACAACCACGTTTGGAGATCTTCAAGTTTAGCTGGATCCACTGGCCTATAAGGGTCGTACTCCGTCACAGTTGAAAATTTTTTCCTTTTTTCAATATTCCTCCACGGAGTACATAGAACGGCGGCCTTTCTTTTCTTCCGGTGCCCTCTCCCTTTAGGAGACTCAAGATCTTCAACGGTTTCCTCTATCTCGATTGGTGTCGGCGGTTGTCTCTCTTGGTACACAACAATGGTTGATGACGGGTCAGTCACAAAACCTACAATAAGCAAAAAAACAATCAATACTTATTTATTTACAAGAATGCACCATCAAATTACGTAGTAGTTACAATTATACTTTACATACCCGTATCAAATCCATGAAGTCCAGCCATTTCTTGCTCGGACATCGGAGATGGTGATTTCATCGTGTCTGCGAAATAGAAAAATAATTAAATAATTCAATAATATGTTGCATTTGTTTTAAAATATATTTTTTTCTACAAATAATATTACAATAATTTGTCCTATTTATTTTAATTAATAATCGAGTAATAACATTAACATGATGCACTGATTTAAATAAAATAACTTTACCACATTCAACGGTCTCCTTATCCCGCACATTTTTCTCCACCTCAACATAGATCATCATTTGGCACATCATAAGTAGCACGGCTAGATGGTTTATCTTTTGCTTGAAAAAACTCATTCTTCATTCTCTCAAACAAATTGTTCATCTCCTCCTTCACCACTTTTCTCACCTCGTCCTTCACCACTTTCCTCACTATATTTGTGATCTTTTCTTCAACCAAAACATGAGGTTGTGGTGCATCTTCAGGTTGAGACGCATTTTCTTCTTCTTCTTCTTCTTCTTCTTCTTCTTCTTCTTCTTCTTCTTCTTCTTTTCCTTCTTCTTCTTCTTCCTCATCATCCACATCATCATCATCATCATCAGCTTTAAAAGATGCACTGCCTTCTCCCTCATCTTTGGTCGCAGTGCCTTCTTCATCCTCATCATGACGGCCACTATCTTCTTCCTCGACAATTATACCCAATTCGTTGAAATACGAAGACTCACATTCATATGAAGAGGGTTCCAATGTTCGTCGAACTTGAATCTGCTTGTAATATAATTAGTTTTTTAAAAGTATAAGTATAACAATAAATAAGAAGAATAATCTATAGCAAAAATTACCTCCGCCCTCTCGAAAAAACTAGTAAGCAGCTCGCCTCGCAACTGTTTCTCCATTTTCCAACAGTACATTCTTGGAAGTTGGACACCAGTATTTATTTGGGCAAATTCTCTTCCTAAGTCGGGTAGCGCCTCAAATGCCCAAATCTGCTTAGCAAATAAGAGAGCATAATTAAAAATACAACTAACACAAATAAATAATAAAGAACATAAATATAGATTTAGATGAAAAGTACCATAATAGCCAAGGGAAATCCATGCAAAGAATAGTTTATGGACTCTGGATTTTTTCCCTTCCCGAAAGAGGTCCGCTTGAACAACTTTACAGTCTGCTGATACGACAAGTTGCCCCAAGGATAACTGTTGAATTTTTTTAAATCTGCAACTAAATTAAACCATCTTTCATCTACAAGAGTCTCGCACTCTGAAGACAAAACAACATGCTCCAAGACAATCACGAGTCCCAATTTGTACTTCGTCTCCGCGTCTTTCTTTTTATTCAACGTAAGAAATTTCTCGAGTAAGTCACTGCGTTTGATCTTCCCCTTCTTCTTCTTGAACAGTTGCAAAAGCGAACTGTTATTTTTAGGGACCTCGTACGCATTTTCATCATCCGCCGCAATCTTAAATCCGGTTACAAGAGAAAACTCTTGTAACCCGAATCTAGCTTCTTTTTCCCCAAATCTGAACCACACGGCATCTTTGTCATTTTCGGATGCTTTCAATGTCCTACGAAGTACTTGGTGGACTATTTGGGAGGACAATATGATCTCGGTAATATTTATTAGTGGCCGGAAGCAAGACTTTGCAAATCGATCTTGATGTGAATCGTTTAGATTGTCAAATACTGTTCTGACAACTTTGAGGTTGCACCGATTGGTCACGTTTGCTTTGCATTTGGAAGGTATATCAAATGCATATTCCTTTTTGGTTCCTAAAAACAGAAAAGAAAGACAACATAAGTCATAATAGATCAAACAAGCAATAAGTACTTAAAATAGTGGCATAATCCTTTAATATAACCCAACTGGGTATTTTAGACTTGGAGTTCAAAACTGCATAAACCTATTCGTTATATGTATTGTGACACTACAACGACAGTGCATTCATTATATTGTAATATATAACTAAGGTGTAATCGTTTCTCTCCTCTCCCTACTACTTATGACTTCGCTTCGTTTTCCTATTCTAGCTGTCTTTCTGTAGTTCATTCGTTCAACTATCGCAAAGTGAAGTCAAGGTGTAATTGACCTCTCCCGTGTACACTAACTCCCGATCAATAGATATTTTTTTATGCGTTATGCCAGGCTCAATGCAATTGACCTATCCATTTTGGCTAACAAAGTATTCCATCGACCGGGGATGAAAATAAAACAATATCGGGAGTACATTCGTTATCATCCATTACATAACGAAGGTACTTTTGTTGTTCATGTTAAACGGTACAAATCATACAAATACTCAAACTAAATATATTGATTGGTTCAAAGTATACAACAATTAGCATACCCAATTACTATCAACTCAATCTTTCAAGCATTTCATCAAACACCTATTACCATCTTCACTTTCATCAAAACTATAAAAATAATATGAATTCACATAACACAATCAAAACCTTGCTCCACGAATATCAAAGTCCCAAACAAAAGGAAATTAAGTAAAGAAGAAATTGACAAAAACAAAAAAAAAACGAACCTGTATCGATTTTGACGGGAAGAGCGAGCTCCATAGAGATTGGGCGCCAGAGACAACGAGAGAGGAGGTCGTGGGAGAATAAGGAAGAAGGAAAAATGAAAATGGAAGAATGGAAGGTTGGGGAGAGACGAAAGAAGAGAGGGTGAGAGAGAGGGTGAGCCGGCGAGAGTTACAGAAGAGTGAAGGAGAAAGAGGAAATTTGGGAGAAGATGTTATGTTAAATTGTCGAGAAGAAGAAGGTTGAAGGTTGGAGAGAGACAAAAATTAAAAAGGGTACATAAGTATTTTCCCATTTTGTGGAGTTTTTACTTAATTTTTTTATAGTTGTGTAGGTCAAGGATCATCTGAACAATTTTATGTTTTGAGGAGGTTATTCCAACGAATTCCCACGAGCACAGACTGCAAGCAAATGGATACGGGTTCGAGTTCGTCGGCCCAAGGACGAGGCCGTAATTCTTGCGCGTGGAATCCTATGCCGACTGTCTAGTCGCATTAATTGTCGGTTGACCATCAATAAGTATCCATAAGTTTGGTGAGGCCGTGATTTTTGTCGGCGGAGCCAGATTTATAACTTATTCGGGCTTAAATTATAACAAATATTAAATAAAAAATTATGATTAAAAGTATTATTTTATAATGCTTTTACAACAAATATTTTTTTAAAATATATTCATTTAAAACTAAAATATTCTTTTAGTTTAAATTTTGGATGAACTTAAAAAAGTCAATGACATTTCATTATGACAACAAAAAAACAAAAATTAAAAAGAGAGAAACATAACACTTATTAGGAATAAATTTAATTTGTTGAACAATTATTTCTCAAATTTCAAGGAACTATTTAATTTTGTCATAGAACCCCTCAAAATTGGTATCTATGAAATGGTTATTCAATTTAGAATTGTTCATCAGTTTTATTTGATGTGATTATGTCATATATTTTAATTAGTTAGACTAATATTATAAATATTGCCAAATTTTAATTTTAATTATATATATAATTAAATTATATTATTTTTAAGTATACATATATATTATATACGTACATGCTTCCAAAAGTTCTACCCGGGCTAAAGCCCAAGTAGATTATAACATCGCTCTGATGTGTACTGAAACTTTGTAGGATGAATGTAGTTGCATTGATCAGAAACATCATTGTGTATTGTGTAGTGCTGTAAACGAACTGAACCGAATCGAGCTTGGGCTGTTCGAGCTCGTGTTCGTTTACGTTCGAACAATGTTCGTGTTTGTTTGTTTATTTTTCGAGCAAAAATTGTGTTCGAGTTCGTTCGTTTAATTGTTCGTCAAAGTTCGAGTTCGTTCGTGTTCGAAAAATTTTAATACATAAACTTTTTTTTTTGAACGAACTCGTTCGAACTCGAAAATAAAAAAAATATAATATATTTTGTTATTTTTTAGATTTTTATTAAAAATATTATGTAAATATAAAAAAAAGTTTATATTAAATTAATGTTCGTGAACATTATCGAATGTTCACAAACAAGCTCGTGTTCGTTCGATTATTAAACGAGCCTAATTTTCTGTTCGAACTCGGCTCGATTAACAAACGAACGAGCTCGAACGAGCTTTTGTTCGCGAACGTTCGGTTCGTTTACAACTCTAGTATTGTGTGATGTTTGTGGGGAAATTTTTTTAACCTCCCAAACTATGTCGACTTTTAGAGTTTGTCTTACGAACTTTTTTTTTTTTGACAATTTGCCTCCCTTAGTAATCGAAACTAACAATTTGCTTCCTCGATCGACAACCCTAATATGGCATAAAATTTATTTTAACTCAATTAACGATAAATTTTAAATTTGATCTTTAAAATTGATTTAGAGCTTTTAAAGCCCATGGCGAGACGAACAAAATGAGGTATGGTTTGTCGATTTCTGAAAATTGATACCTCTGTAATCGATCAACGAAGATAGTAGGAGCACGTGTGTATAGAAAAAATCTCAATTCAAGTTTTCTGATAATCAAGATATCCGATTTTCGATTGGGAGGTGTCATTTGAAAACTTGCAGGATCAATTTTCTAATGCGTAAATCTTATGAAAATCTTATGGTCGGTTTTTTATCAGTAGATAGATAACTACTTATCAATAGTTATCTTTTTCTTAGACTATTACTTCGTTAGAAAATTCGTATTCCAAACTTTCAAATGACACATTTTAAAATTAGGAGATGAATTTCAAGAGTTATAAGGAGGGGGTCACAAGAGTTATTTATGGAATGAAATTCAATTCAAAATACCCTTTTAATATCTTGAACTAATCGGATGAAAGGGGATTTGCCACTTACCAAAAATGCAAAGGGATTTTGAATTTTGAACAAAACAAGGCTAGGTCCCTTTAGCCAAAAAGGCAAAAATGGGCGGTATTTAGGTTCCAAACGGGCCAAACAAATGCATCCAAATGGGCCGAAAAAGATGAGTTTAGAGCTGAGATAATTGGTCCAAGACTTAGAGAAAAATAATTAAAAAAAGTCAACGAACGGATTTAGAAACGGTCGACGGTGAACTAACGATTTTCGATTAGTCAGAAATAATAAATTTAGAAATAATTTAAGTAGACGAGGACATTTACGAAAATTATTTAACTTATTAGATTAAATAGACAATGACATCTAATAATCATATAAGTTTAAACGATAAATTTGTCGAGCAATTTAAATAAATAAGCATTGCAATAGAAAAAAATAAAATACGATAAATCATATAAACGAATGGGGCACTACAGCTTATGGAGCCATCTATAGTTATTCACAAATGGTGTGTTGACACATGTTTTACAATAAATACATATTGGACACGTGTCAGTATATACATTATGGATGGCTCAAGTAATTTATGTAGTCTCTTAGGATGAGATTTTCCTTCACCAAGCCGAGTATATTTGAAATCTGGTACATAAATTTGGGTTGAAATACGTCAAGTGTGCTGATACTCCTATGTGAAGACATAAACTGTTTATATTTTACTATTTATATATCATATCCATTTTAATCATTACATCTTTATCTTATATTCATAATGTCAAAATTGTTTGTTTATTTTTTTGAACAATATTTTTTAATTTTTTTCATATTTTTTAATTTTTTTCTTCGGTACAAAGAGAGGGAGGGATAAGCTTAGGAAGCTATCCTACGCGGGTATGCCAACCCAGCTGGCAGGAACGCGAGGCGTTGTAGTCCTCCAGGACTAAGATGCTAGTGAAGCTAAATAATCCGCCGAGAAATTCGATTCTCGATAAACATGTCGTATTACCACCGCCCAATCTCGACTTCTCAATTCCTTCACAGCCCGAACGGGGCAACTATGGATTCCCTCCTCATCAGCCTGACCATTTACCAAATCAACCGCCGCCTTGCTATCTACATCAGCCAAAACTCGTCGGTACCCCAAGTCCCACGCTAACAGTAAAACTTGCAGCAACCCCTATATCTCTGCGCCCATAATGGAGCTAAATCCGATGGTCATGACGAAGCCCCCGAAAAATCGCTCATGGTGGTCTCGCAAAAGACCTCCCGCACTCGCCATGCCTGTGGAGGTGTTAAAAGCGCCGTCGGAATTGCACTTTATCCACCCTCCATCGGAGGATCCCAATAAATCATACGATCTAGTCGCTGGGGACCACTGTGCCCGAGTTTCAGAAGGCTGGAGCTCGTTTGTTGAATAACACCAACGTAATTTCGAACCTCGTGTAATTTACCATCCATCAAGGGAATAGTACCATTAAAAATAAAATTATTCCGTCCTTGCCACAAGCGCCACAGGTTTACTCCAAAGCCAAGCATCCAAATCTATATCGAAAAACTCATCCCAACAGGAGGAGGGAAATATTGGTCGAAAAATCACAATCACGTAAAACGTGAAGTGTTGTCTCCGGGTGAGAACGACACAACTTGCACAACGGGTTGTTCGCAAGATGACGCCTATGCCTCTCGCCATTCGTCAGCAACCTGTCCTTCGTGACTAGCCATAAGAACTGGCGAATTCGCTGGGGCCCGACACATCTCCATATCATCTTCCACAACCTGCGCTTCGCGGAAAATCTGTTGGGGTCAAAGAGCTGTATGCTGAGCGTGTTGTAAACTGGCCATCAGTAGACCAACCCCAAAACAATCGGTCTCGGCCAACACCCACTTTAGGAGGCAGGATACCGGAGATACGAAGAAGATTCGAGGGCTGCAACCAGGATGAAAATCGTGGCCAATCCCATTGTCCCTGTTCATTGACGTACCTCAATATGGGGCCATGCCAATTGATCTTCGGATATGACTCCCTGCACTCGATTGATTAATGGGTCAGAACAATTTAACCAATTGTCCCACCAAAAGCTAACCCGAGTTTCATCTCCTAATGACCACCTGACACCTTTAATCACGTGCGGCCATACCCGTGCCAGACCGCGAATCACAACCGAGCCGGTCGGGAAATAAAAATCAGCCGGCATCGCGCTAGAATGGAGTTTATACTTGGCACATAGAACCCTAACCAATAAAGCGTTGGGCTTTCTTAAGAGACCCCAAACGAGTTTCATAATTAAAGCCATATTCATCCGTTTCTGGTTTTTTAGCCCCAACCCACCCTCCTCTTTGGGCTTACATAATGAGCTCCAGTTAACCAGGTGTACCTTCTTTGCAGTGTCGGAGCCGCCCCAAATAAACCTACGACAACACTTTTCCGAAGCTTCACATATTGTCGATGGAATCCACGCTATTTGCATGGAGTAATATGGTAAACTACTCACCACCGACTGAGTCAAGGTAATTCTACCAGCCATCGAGAGTGACGAGGATTTCCAACCAGCAAGGCGACTCTCCGCCTTCTCTAAAATGCCCTTGTAGGTATGCTTAGTGACCCTCCCATGAATGAGCGGCATACCGAGATAGGTACCCAGGTTGTCCACCCTTAGAAAGCCTGTTGTCTGAGCCAGTTGTTGTTTCTGGTTCATCCACATTCGACGAGAAGAAGATGTTAGTTTTGGACACACTCACCTTCAACCCCGAGGCAGTACAGAAATCGTTTAGCACCCCATTAAGCACTTCTACTTGGTCTCGTGATGCTTCCATACACAACAGTAAATCATCAGCAAACATAAGGTATGGAATAGCTACCTCCCCATGGCCAAGCGAGATTGGTCTCTACAAGCCCTGATCCACTTTCTGTTGAATAAGGTGAGCTAGTCTCTCCATCACCAGGACAAAGAGATAAGGCGAAATAGGATCACCTTGTCTAACACCACGAGAGGGAGTGAATTCCTCGGAAATGGTCCCATTGAATTGAAAATCTTCATGGATGCCGAGGTGATACAAGTCATCACTCCTTGAACAATAGCTTCCGGAAATCCCGCTAGGCAAAGAGTACTCTTGACAAAATCCCAGCGGAGGTAGTCATAGGCCTTTTCTAAATCAACCTTCACAAAAAAATACCACGTCCGGCCAATTTTAATTCTCATTGAGTGGACTAACTCCTGAGCAATGACAATATTGTCCGAAATTTGTCGTCCAGATATAAAGCTCACTTGGCAGGACCCACAAGGCGCGACAGCGAAGGTTTGATTCTGTTCGCGAGGACCTTAGTCGCCACTTTATACACCACATTGAGGAGACTTATTGGTCGAAACTGTTTAATCGTCTGAGGGCAGTCCACCTTAGAGATCAAGACAATTAAAGTTTTATTCACTTCAGGTGGCATAATACCATCAATTAGAATCTCGCGGATCAGCCGACAAACCGAGGTCCCCACATTGTTCCATTTCTGTTGAAAAAACACAGCGTGAAGCCCATCAACCCCCGGTGATTTCAACGGGTGCATGGAGCAGAGAGCATATGAAATTTCAGGGTCCGAGACTTCTTTCGCCAAAGAGGCTATGTGGCCAATAGTGAGTGTAGGAAAATCACTTTGGATGTGAATAAAGTGGGAATCCCGATGCACCATCGAGTAAATGCCTCGAAAATAATCAACGGCCATGCTCCCGAGTGTACTTTGGTCCTGACACCAATTCCCATTGATATCCAAGAGACCCACAATTTTATTTTTTCAAATTTCGTGTTCCTATCGCAAACAAAGACCAGTCATTGAGATTTCTGAATCTCTTCTTGTCACGTTTTACCCACAATTTTATTTTTTATTTTTTTCCTAACAATAACTTTTTCCATTTTCTAATTTCTATTTACGGCAAAAAAGAAAAAAAAAAAAATACTGTGAAAACTGAAAATTTCATACCCATTAGCAAATCTTTGCTTGGCCGCCTACACACACAGTAGAACTACCAACTGGTCCCTGGTGGAAAGCAAAGGACCAGAGGCTTTAGCTTTGAAGCACACTAATGGTGGAAGCAAGCGAGATGGTGCTTGTAGAACACGCGCTCGAGACGGTGCTGAGGGTCGCACAGAGGCTGCCGCCTGTGAAGGTTCCCCTCCATGCGGCGTTGGGCAGAATATTGGCTCAAGACGTCGCTGCACCCGACCCGCACCCGCCATACCCTGCATCTATCAAGGTATTCTTTTCTTTCTCACCTCCTCTGTTTTGTACGCGTTAATTTTTGTGTGTATGCGTTACCTGTTTGGTGCACTTATTGTGGGTTTTTTTGTGTTGATTGGGAGTTTCATTTGTCAAAGGAATTGGGAGATTTTGTGTAATTTCTTTTTTGTCGGATTATTGAGTATTAAGAGGGGTTTTTTGTGAAAGTTATGATGACTTTGGCATTCTAAAAGGTGTAGATTTTTTTCTTGATTAATATATATGGGGATTAACATGTAAAGGAGCCAACTTTGTGAGATTAGATGCATTAAAGTATGAACACGAGCAACAGCTTTTATTAGGATAGGTATTGTGTTAGCTAAATGTTAGAATGTAGGCTTTCTTTGTGCTCATTAAGTATTTGAAATTCTTTTGTATTTGATATACTTCAAAGGTTCCTCTAGCTATGCTTGGAAGTTATTATCTTGTGATGTCTTTGTGTTTGATAGGATGGATATGCTGTAATTGCTTCGGATGGTCCTGGAGAGTATCCCGTAATAACCGAGTCAAGAGCAGGAGATGACGCTATTGATGTCACTGTGACTCCTGGAACTATCGCATATGTGACAACTGGTGGTGAGTTTCTCTGTTTTTCCTTTTTTTTTTTTTTTAATCCCTATCTTGATTTGTTGGACTTATATGCCACTTCTATACGCGTGAAAGACATTTATTTGCTCGAGTTTTGCAGTTGGTGAATTGAAAGTGTTTTTGTATCTACATAAAGAGGAAGGTTGACCAAAAAATCTTTCGTAGGTTAACAGAAAGGAAAACCTGCCCATACCACACATGTAATCTTATTCTCATTTCCGTCTAAATGAGGAATTTATCTCTTTATAGTTGAACCAGAAGGTCCATGTGTGGACTGTAGGCCCCAATATAAGTGAAATCTATTTAAACTAATGTAGAAAAAGCTCTTCCTCATTTTATTATTCTTCAATCTTCTTTTGTTCAGGACCTATACCCAAAGGCGCTGATGCTGTAGTGCAAGTGGAGGACACTGTGCTACTAGAGAGTGCAGCTGGTGCTCCAAAACGAGTAAGGGTATTGAAGCAAGTCGCACAAGGACTCGATATTAGACCAGTGGTATGAAGCTGTCACTTTGCTAAGTTATTTTGTTGAATGTTACCTTTATTTTGTCCAAAATGAGTCGGACAGTTTGCTGTAGAGTTTAGCGTTGGCTTTTGGTCTCTAAGAATGCGGGTGCTTGTCACTTTCTATTTTGTCTGTTCTGTATTGATTTGGTACCTATTTTTTCCCGCAAATTACTTATTATTCATTAGGTATGTAGTACTATCCTTCACCAGTGATCAAATTTTGTGATGTGAATTCTATAAAATGAAGAAAGCGGCTTTTCCCAGGTGTAAATCCCTGCTGTCTCTGATTTTATTGTTTTCTTTTTTTTCCTTTACTTCGTTTTCATTTTTTACGATAATGATCTGGATGGTACATGTAGGTTAGCTACATGAAAGGATGCATAACTTTGATCATCTCACACCATTTTATTTGCTTCTTATTGCTGTATATAATGTTATCAATGCCTTCCATGTTTGCACGTCAACGTCCGAGTTTTATGATTCCATCTGAATATGTCTGTAGGGGTGTGATATTGCTAAGGGTGATTTGGTATTGAAATCTGGAGAACGTTTAGGTGCTGCAGAAGTTGGCTTACTCGCCACAGTAGGTGTAACAGCTGTGAAGGTGTTTATTATTCTTTTATTTTATTTTATGGTTGTAAAAAAGAATAATTGTTTTCATTTTTTTTTTTATTCTCTCTCGCCTTCTCTCTCTCTCTCGCTCACACACACACAGACACACACACACACACACACACTCCCTGGTATTGGTTGTCAGTAATTTCTGCTCCTGTGCTGAAGAACTTGTTAACATCTTATCAACGTTGCTATGCTCAGGTATATTGTACCCCAAAAATTGCGGTTCTCTCCACAGGCGATGAACTAGTTGATCCCACAAATACATCTTTAAATCGTGGCCAGGTATTTGAGGAAAGAAAAATTGTTGATAATGCTTTATTGAAATGCTAACTGGGATTTTTATGTGAGTTTTTGTGTTCTCGTGGGATTTTTCGGTGCTCATCTCGTCACTTATGTTTTCTGGAAGGAATAATGCTGACTTGTTACGATTTTAATTATGAAATTGTCCCGTTGAAACATAATATAGTCATACTTACATGTGGAATATTGTATATGGTTTAGCCAAATGAACTTGTATTTGAGGTATTTAATGCTGCACCAATTTCTAGAGTTCAATTTCATATATATATATATACAAATATATATGTATATATATATATATATATATATATATATGTTCATGAGTCATGACTATGCTTAATTATTTTCTGTTTAGTGAAAGGTATTTGCATCACCGTGTCTTCAAAAGTAGAGGTTATGCTTTGGAATCAATATGTCACCGATGTGACAAACCATGCTTGCTCCAGTGTCTCTTGTCTCATAACCAGGATTTGATTTGTCTCTGTTGGTTGTAACTATTTGTGTTCCGACTTTGTATGCCTTAAATGTAATCAGTAACTGCGTGGTTAAATATAAAAAAAACTTGTTTTGATTGGATATATTGATTAAAGTGAGTTAATTTTGAATAAAGTTGATTGAGTGGTGGATTGAGTGGGATCTTGAGTTTATATTATGATAATATTTAAAATGTAATGAGTAAGTTGATGTGATGTAAAAGTAAGAGAGAGGTTATTGGAAATGATAGATAGTTAAAATTATGTGAGTAGATGAATGGTGAATTAAAGTTAATTTGATGTGTGAGGATGATTATATTGATAATATTGAGGAGAGTTGGGTTGGATTAAATTTGAATTGGATTTTGAGTTAAAAAAAAGTGTTTTAAAAAAATTATCCGATCAGTCAAAACCGGTCATATTTTATAGCCATCGCGCCAAATCTTTTATCAATTTTGTCGTAATCTCCCACTTTTTAAGAAATCTAGTCTTCGTTTATGATTTGATTTTCTCTCTGTGTATTTTTCTCCTTTAATACTCTTACTTGGCGAGAAATTTTTGTATAATAGTAAAATCAAAACCAGGCTACCTTTTCTTCTTAATGTGCTTTAAAATGTATGGTTCTCGTGTAAACAAGCTCTATCCTTATGCAGATTAGGGATTCCAATCGTGCCATGATCCTTGCTGCTGCTCAGCAACAGCAATGTGAAATTCTCGATCTTGGCATAGCCCGTGATAATGAAGAAGAACTTGAGAGGATTTTTGATACAGCATTTTCTAGTGAAATTGATATCCTATTAACTTCAGGAGGAGTCTCAATGGGAGACCGGGATTTTGTGAAGCCTTTACTTCAAAAGAGAGGGAAATTATATTTTCACAAGGTAATGCTTGACGTTTTTCCGCTTTCTGGTTCGGTTCCAAATCTCAAAGGGACCTTCTAACCTTCTTTAGATTCATAATACAACTCTTTTTTCCTTATCAAGAGTGAAAAATTATTATATGGAACAAAAATCTCATTCTTCATTGTGTGATTGTTTTTGGTCCAGATTTGTATGAAACCTGGAAAGCCTCTTACGTTTGCGGAGGTTCTTCCTGAATCAACCGAGGGCAAGGCTGAGAATAAGATTCTTGCTTTTGGTTTGCCTGGGAATCCCGTGAGCTGCTTAGTGTGTTTCCATCTCTTTGTGGTTCCTGCAATAAGACATCTTTCTGGATGGACACAACCTCATCTCCCGAGGTTTTTTTAGAGTTCTGAAGCTCCTCACTATCTGTTCTTGAACTCTCTTTCCTCCTTCATTCAGTAGTTATCCTATAAATTAACTAATGGTTTGCTTTCTTGTTGGGCAGAGTACATGCTCGTCTGAAGCAGGCCATAAGGGCAGATCGGGTCCGTCCGGAATTTCATCGCGCCACAGTAAGTTGGGAAATCAATCATAGCACAGGAATTTCAGGGTAAGAGTTCCTTTTTTTTTTTTTTTTTTTTNCCAACCTCTATCTCTCTCTCTATCTGTATGTATGATTTGTTTGATTATTATTATTTTTTTTTTTCTTAATGACGGGAAGGTTTGTTGCTGAGAGCACGGGTCACCAACTTAGCAGCCGTCTCTTGAGTATGAAGTCAGCAAACGCCTTATTAGAGCTTCCGCCCACGGGCGATTTAATTCCTGCTGGGGCTCAAGTGGTGGCTATAATTGTTTCTGATATAATTGGTATTGCTGGGAATAGCAATTTGCCCGTGTCAAGTCCAAGAGTCTGTGTAACAAATCAAAGTAATAGTGGTGAAATCGGTAAAGGCCAGCCTGAAAGTTGTGAATATAAAGTGGCTATTCTTACTGTGAGCGACACTGTTGCATCAGGATTAGGGCCTGACCGAAGGTGATTCTCATCGTTTTTTTATCTTATCAAATATCAAGTAGTCGATGAGATTATATTCTACCTTTATTTCTCTGAAAATATCAAGTATCTTCTTGTCAGATTTTCTTATACTCATGTTTCTCAAATATCATGAACAAATATAAGAGAATTTCGTGGGTGATAATTGGTGGGATTCCAGATACATATAATCCATGAATTGAATAAGAGTGGCGACTAGAGATTTATGTGGTTTAGGTGCAAATTATTCATTTTAAGAAATATGAAAGGGGTTACATTGCATTTTGTTATTAAGTTCAAACCAGAATAAGATGCATTGCATATTTGCATCATGATACATCTTTCTGGATCATCATTCCCGAAAGGTCACTTTGCTGATGCTACAACAATGGCCAACTTGGTATTAAGTCCATGTGAAAGAGAGTCATGGATGGATGTACCCAAGATTTTGCCACAAATTTTAATGATGATGATGTTTTATTTATTTTCTGCAGCATCAAATTCTTTGCTGATCCATCTGCATTATCTTGTTTATCAGTATATTCTTTTTGTTTCCAGTGCTTGATAAAAATAATTTTTACTTTTCTAGTGGTCCGCGGGCAGTATCTGTTGTGAATTCATCATCTGAAAAACTGGGTGGTGCCAAGGTTGTTTCTAGTGCTGTTGTACCAGATGAAATCCCAAAAATCAAGGAATTGTTGGAAAAATGGAGTGATTTTGATAAAATGGATCTCATTCTTACTCTTGGTGAGTATAAAACTTTCTTCTTCTTTCTTTTTTTTGATAGAGTGGTATATCCTTGTGATTGGATGTGAATTGTGGAATTATCTGATCATTGAGAATTCGATGGAAGTTGGAGTCGTTTGATTTACGTGTCATTCTTGGCTCATTTTATCCCAATCTCCTGTGAGAAAAATTCTAATGGATCTTTTTTTTAGGTGTTTTATTGTTAGTTACGACTTTTAAATGTTCATTCTCCAAAAAATGATATGGTAGGTGGTACTGGATTCACCCCGAGAGACGTAACTCCAGAAGCTACAAAACAAGTAATACACAAGGAGACTCCTGGTCTACTTCATGTTATGATGCAAGAGAGTTTGAAGGTATCTAAACTCTTCCTTTTTTTTTTAAATGAAAGTAGCAATTTTTTTTGTCAGTTGTCATTTTCGATAATTGTGTTGTTTTTCCCCACTGCTACGCTATGTGCATACATGACCTACTTCTTTTGGCGCTGGATATAGACTTCATATTTCATAATCGTCCTGTAGATCATAAATGACAATAGGATTATGATATTGATTCTTCTTGTTGTAACCTTTTGTTACTGATTATGGTGTGGGCACGTGAACAGATTACACCGTTTGCAATGCTTTCACGCTCGGCAGCTGGAATTAGAGGCTCAACATTGGTAAAGCCCTTCAGTTTTTCGTTTTCTATTTCCTTTTTAATAAGATTATTATGTCCAAGTGATTTCATTTATTATTTGACATGGTCATCGAAATAGTAAATCTTTCTGAAGGTTTCTCCTGAAATAAATTTCACAAATATCATTATAATACTCTAGTTTATTTTCTCAAAAGAAACATTGACATATGGTGACGTTAGGTCAATTGGGATTTTTTAATTTCATGTGTTTGAAGAAAGTTAATCTATCGTATTAATTTTTTGTGTTATTCAATGATAGATAATAAACATGCCTGGAAATCCAAATGCGGTTGCTGAATGCATGGAGGCATTATTACCTGCGCTTAAGCACGCGTTAAAACAGATTAAAGGGGACAAGCGAGAAAAACATCCTCTTCATGTACCTCATTCACAGGCTGCTCCTATTGACACTTGGGAACATAGCTATAAATCGGCTTCTGGCGAAGATCAAGAAAAGAGCTGTTCTTGTTCCCATTAGTTACTTCTGGGTACAGTCTTTCTTCTTTTTTACACAGTTGGTGTGAAATTACTTAACATTAAGGGCGTGATTGGATAAATAGTCTCTCTCTCATACTTTTACATCACATCAACTAATTATTTTAAATATTATTTAATTACAAACTCAAAATCATCTACTCAATCAATTTTATTCAAAATGACTCACTTTAACCAATCAAATTGGATCATAACCGGTTCGATTCATATCCAATCATGCCCAGAATCTTATTTTACAATAGATTGCAGTTTTTTCGTTGTTATCCTTCTCTGCATTTAGTAGAGTAATTTATATGCGAAAAATGATAAACCCATGCTTAAAAACTGTTGAACAGTTGAGTCATTTAGTTTGCACTAGTTTCGTGTTTTTATTTCTTCTTTTTTTGATGGGTAATTGTGTTTTTATTTCTGTTGTGCAAATTCATGGCAGTAATCACTATAAAATGATTAGTTTTTATTTCTCCATAATTGATTGTTATTATTGTTATTATTTTTGTCGCTAGTAGAGTTGATCAAGAAGATGGAGATAAAATCCTATGAAAGAATGGAGAACATGGCAAGAGCCCTACGGTGCTGGTTGCTTGGGAACAAGCTTCTCTTACTGTTACATATGTCAATCCTTTTTGTACCCAAAACATTTCACCTTTGTTATTTGTTAATCTACCACTGTTGTAATAACCTTTGAGAAGAAATAAGGACATTTGCTCCATCATTTTCAAAGTTTGACCTTAAGATGGATTTTTCTTCACAGACAAATGTTAATTAGCGAAGAGTTCAGAACTTCTGTATATACTTGGATCATTTTTGGCAGTTTTATGCTAAATCTCGAGGGTAACAGTTGTAATCAGGTCTGTTAGTCGTAACAAACATGTAACGATAATGTTTCTAGTCTCACATTGAGCTAGTGAGCTGCATAAGTGTCCTTAACCTTCCCATTACAGATAACACAAAGTTGTCCTTTCAGAGACAACCCACCCAGGAGATGGGACCCATTTTCCAAGCAATCCTTCTCCTTTGACATCAAATAACATGTTACTGCAAAATTTCAAACCCTACAACTTGAAATTCTTCCTTGGATATGCTTCAAAGGGTGGCCACTAACATTGTTGTTCCATGCTTCTTCACCAAATTCTTCCACACCTAGTAGCTTCACTCGTAAAATTACGAATGTTGTGCACTATGTTTTCAGGTGAAATGAAGCACCTGAATAGACTTTCTTCTAAAACCCTCTCCCATCTCATATTGCACCAACTAAATGGGTGTCAGTGTCCCTGAAAACAAACTTCGTCAATCCCCTCTCCTTTCCAAATTCAACAATAGAGGATGATTTTATTCTCGGATAAAGCTAAACTGACTTCATCAAGCTCCACAAGCGTGTTCTTAAGCGATTTAGAATACTTGCAGATAAGAAATCTATTCTCTCTACATATGTAAGACATTGACAGCCTCTAGAACAGCCACCTTGATACCCACCATTTTCTGCTAAATTCCCAATTATCTCCAAGCCACCATAAATTTTCCCCATTTTCCTTTTTCCCCTTGAAGAAATTACATTGCATTCTTCTGACCCCACTATCTACACTAGCACCAACAAATACTACCAACACTTTGCCATAATCCATTTCAATTCTGTATTTCATTTCCAGACAGAAGCAATCTTTAACAACCTGTTTCAGTTCTACTCTATTGGACCAGCACACAAACAAAACTTTACCCACATGATCACAAACCTCCCATCTGTCCTGCAATTTCATTCCTCTAAACACAATAGCAAATATTTATGACTATGAACAATGATATAAAGACTTCAAATATACAAACTTTATTTATTTGTCTTACTTATGTAGATATTTCTCACAAACTAAATGGGCATTGTATTGATAACTAAACAAAGTGTACTCCAAATCTACATCAAGTATAGTGAAGCCTCTTGAGGAGAAGAAAACCAAAATAAAAAAAAAGGAATGAAAAGAAAAGGGCACAAACAATTTACCATCAGAAAAAAACTATCCAGAAAGTAATCAAAATCGATCAAGTCTGAGAACTGAGAGACAAAGCCTTTTCCTTGAACCTATACCTAGGGTTTCTAGGCACAACCTGACTCGGGCCGAACCCGAACTGCCCAATACTATTAGTGAGCGGCGGCCCGTCGTCGTATATGTAACCCACCAGCTTACCGCAGCTATTGCACTTGATCTTGGTCCTTTTCCTCTGAATGCCCCAATAATTGACGGTCTCGAAAAAGGGCCTGATTTTGTCCTCTGTCTCGAACCTGAACTTGGACGAGTCGACGGCGGAGAAGGAGAGGGTGTTTTTGTTGCCGGCCTCGAAGTAGAAATCCGACGGGAAGAGGTTGGCAGCTTGGAGGTTGAGATTGGCGCCGCACTCTCTGCAGCTATATATCGTCGCCATTGATGACGGAATGTGCTATTGAATTCTTCAATTGAAAGGTTTCGCCTTTTCTTCTCTGTGGCACCAAAGTTTTGGTGCAAGGAATCCTAAAAAGCNTTTATTTCAAGATCATGAAATTTCTCCACTACTAGAACTTCTAATTTAATTAAATTTCGAAAATTTAAGGAGTTTGGAAAAAATGTGACAGCAGAGGTTTCATAAAATAAAAAATAAATAAAATGGTTGTGTGAAGGGCTCTAGCTCGCCTTATTTATCACAAATTCAAGCTTCATTTTTTCTAGCCTTATCTAGCCGAATTTGAGTTCGGCTCGTTTGACAACTGAGCTCGAGCCTTAACAAGTTGAGTCGAGCTCACGAAGCGGCTCGTTTCGTTTAACAGCTCAGTCCCAACACCTTAAAAGAAATATTATATAGAGATTTTTGTTTTTAACCTTCCAAATGTATGTATTTAGTTTGTTGTATAAATTTTTAAGTTGATAAAAATTGTCTCTTAAAAGTATATGAAATGATAATTTATGTCCTGCATTTAAAAATTATAACATGATATATTTTGTTTTAAAATCATGGAGAAGTTTGAATTGAATCTTAAAATTGATTTATAGCTTTTGAAGTCCATAATGAGATGAACAAATTGAGGTATGAGTTTTTTAAGTCCATAACGAGATGAATAAAATTAAGCATGATATCGGTTTCAGACAGTTGATTCATTGGTAATCGATCATCAAAGAAGGTAGGTGATACTTAAGAATAGGGAAAAAATTGACATAAACTTTTCGACGATCAAATATTAAATTTCAAATCAAGATATGTCATTTAAAAGCTAGCAAGACGAGTTTTCGGATGAGGTATGCCTTCTAAAATACAACATGTTGAGTTGTAAATAGCTAAACAAAGAAAGATATTTATTAATTTGTTTGGGTACCAATGAGAATTTCACGGTTGGATTTTCATAAGAAAACGTTGTTGTCGTGTGTGAACAACTGCAAGGCCCAATTATTTTTAAAAAGTAACACTATCATTTGTGATAAAATTCAGCACACAGCACATAAATAGTCAGCGCACAAAGCCAAGCCAAATATCCACATAAATCCAAATAACAGAAATGCTCAAGAAATTACATATATAATAACTATGTAAGTGCTTACTTCTTGTGGCAGTTTAACAAAGATAAATTTCCAATCACAACATTATTTATGCTCTCAAAAGGGCCATCTCCATATATAGTTTGCTTATCAATAATATATATAATTTTTTTTAATCACTATAGTAACACTTCTCTTTTTATTAAAAAGATGGAGGCAAAGTCCCATGAAGAAAAGATGAGATCATGGCAAGAGCCCTCTTGGCTGATTGTTGGGAACAAGATGCCCAGCTCCTCTCACTGTCACAAAATCTAACCCTTTGTACCCAACCACATATCCTCCAACCTATGATGATTAATCATAATTACACCTCATTACCAACAAAAATAACCAGTGTTCTAAAAATTTCTATAACAAATTGAATGTTCGCAAACAAAAGCTCGTTAAAAGGTTGGTTAAACACATAATTTTCAAGCTCAAATAGACATTTGTTTCATCATTTTACAATCCTAATAGATTTGCAAATATAATTCTTTAAGTTCTCACCTCATTCTCGAAATACCATGGGCGCCAAGGAGTCTTCACCCGAAGCTTAAGGCTGTTGATTGCGTACCGCGTGGCTGTAACCGGAACAACCGAATCTATATCACCACTGCAAGCATAATGCGGTTCGAAATAATTATAAGACCAAGTAAAGATTGAATTTTTATTGCAAATTCTTCCATATGTTGTTTATGTTATGAACAAGTAAACCTGTAAAGCCATACTCTCAAGCCACTACCCATGAGATTCTTGATTGTCGGCAAAACAGTGTTTGGCGAGTCTGTCCATTCGAAGGAACTGCCGAAGAAGAAGTTCCAGTATTAAGCTAAAACTTGGGGGGTCATTTCATAATTACTCCTAAAAGTTGATTTACCTGCAGCCACTCCAATTTGTGGGGTTTACATGCAGGGCACTTTGAACTTCAGCTGTATTCAAGTAATGCTTGATATATACAGCAGAGCAGGGATCAAAGAAATTATCCTGGACAACATTTTTTTTGTCTAAAGAATATAAACCAAATTTTCATGTACATGGTAACCATAAACTGAGAAACTAAAATGAAACAAGGACTTACAGAGCCAGCTGAGCCGTTTTTCAGCGTTGGGTCCCGGCAAATTGGTGCATAAATGTTGTAATTGTCGATTTCTCCAATTTCTTCAGACGATTTCTCTATAGAATTCAGACATTGATCATATGTTGTCATGTTCGAGAAATAGCAAAACTTGAACAAATCCCGATGAGTCTCGTCCGAGTTCAAGGCGTGAGTCCAGAGATAGTCAATGGTACCCGCTGTCATGGTCTTGTCGTCTATGTACGCATTACCTATCTGAAAGAATTCCAAAGGAATAATGGTTTGAGAGTTTTAATAATTTTTTTTTTTTGGTTAATATCAAAGTGTTTGTTTTTTGAACATACAGCAATCCCCTTAATATTGATGACAGTTTGGTTTGTATGATTGTTGCCGAGCAATATGGTGTGAGCTAGCTGAGGCACGTAATGGCCAGCATAACTTTCTCCGGTTATGTAGAAATCCCGATTTTTGTAGTGAGGGAACCTCTCGAGCCAGTTTATGAGGAAAGTATAAGCATCGTTAGCGGTGCTTATGTCGCCTGTTCTCAAATAATCCGTTGTCGTGTTTGAATACGAGAAACCGACACCAGCTGGCGACTCCAAGAAAATCACGTTCGCCACTTAAAAAAAAAAAAATCCTTAAATTAAATCAGTCGGTCATAAACAAATACACCCTCCTATTCTTTTTAAATGTCGTTTTGTGCTTTGACACATAAATTAATAAATTTTTTCTTTCCAATATTAGCTTTATTTAAAGAAAATTAACATCAATTAATTTCTTTCTTTTCAGCTTTTTTATGTTCTTTTTAAGAGAGAAAAACTCATCGTATTCCACAAATTTCTTCTCAAAACATGTAGTGTATTAGTTAAATGAGGGTAACAATGAAAAAATATGTATAAAAGATCCAAAACGTCATTTATTTGATTAATAGCCAATAACGCCAAAATAACAAATAAAAAGAATAAGATGGAGTATCAGGTTATTTTTTCAAATAGTTTCAACAAAATTTGTAATTCATAATGTGGCTCTTGATATTCGATAAGTTCGATCCGCGTACCATTGTTCCATGCATCATAATTCCGAAATAGAGTTTTGCCATCACTGCTGACCCTGAAAGGACCCAACTCATTCATGGCTCCATATCCAAATGATGAACACCCTGGACCTATTTGTTTATACGATTTATCAAGTGGATGAATAGTGAATCAAAGTAGATGTGATGTGTAAGAATGATTGGATGATATTATTTAATTATATAGATAATATTGAGGATATTGGAGTTGAGTGAAAGTTAAGTTAAATTTTGAGTTGAATGGAATTTTGAGCGAAAATTTTTGTATACAAACATGCTCCAAGTCTTTTTGGATTTTTTCGTCATAGAAAAAGAGACCAAACTTATATCAACAAATAAAAGGTGATGGCTGATGATTAAGTAACATGGGACATTGCATTACTTTGTGTGAAAATCAAACTAGTACTGAGAATAATAAATGAGATTCTATAGACTGAAACATTTTCTAAAGCTTTTTACCTCCATTGAGCCACAAAACAAGAGGTTTAGCAAATGAATTATTAGGAGACTCGACGAAATAATAAAACAGTGCTCTCCCGGCCGCTGGGCCCACCGAGACATATCCGGCATACTGGTTAAAGTCCACGTCATCTGGCTGACCTGGCAACTTGGTGATCTTATCAGCTTCCATTAATCCATCTTGAGGCTCGACAAACGCTGGAACATAATCACTTTCCGCATTGATTTTCGACCAATAATTCAAAGTCGAGAATTTCTGTGATCTTCTAGACTTTAGATGCTTTTGAAGATAACTGGCCTGATTGGCATCACAGGAAATGAAAAGTAGAGGTAGCAGGAAGAGACACACAAGCTTATGCATTTTTTGCCTACTTAGTAGTGTGCATGTGTTGTTAGAAAATAGGATTCTTATATAGAATTATTAAGCATGGAGAGCAATTTTCCAAGGATATGATTTTAGTCTTTGTTTGTTTATTTTGGAATTTGGAAAAGACTAAACTGAAGTTCTCATGAAACTTCTTATTACATTACAACGTAGGAGATATGCTAGCTGTAATAAATATATATATTTATACTTATATTAAAAGGTATCCCATTTACTAAATTTAGTATAAAGAAAAGTCAAAAGTAATTAATGTTTACTGGAAATAAAATAACAATAATTACAGATTTGTTTTGGTATTTATAGCTTGACATTAAAGATTGTTATGGGATAAAAATCAGAACCGATTTTCTTACCTTTGTTGGAAAAGTCAAATGTAAGTATAGATTTATTTTATTGCATAACATCGGTTTAGTTAAAATAATCTCATAAAATCGGTTTTAGTGCCAAACCTATAAATAAAGATTTAATCGGTTTTAATAAAGCAGATTTAATCGATTTTAATAATTGCATAGAATTTCAAAGCTGTTATTTGTTGTAAAAAATTAAATTCTAAAAAAACATTTGTGTATATTTTGTAAAATGTTTGTACAAAATGTTTTACTTAAATTTATTTACATAATTTAAATTAATTACATTAATAAATAATATGAACATACATTAAATATTTTAATTACATAAAACAAAAACAAGAAGAAGATTACATCTATAACTTATAATAATAATGACATTATACTACAATAAATTTTATAATGAAATAATATAAGTATTATACGAGGAACAAGATTACGTAAAATTGTTATTTTTCTTATATTAATGAATAAATATATATAATGAAATCAAATTTATATTATTATAAACATGTGAGCGAGATAATATATTAATTAATTTACGGGCTAGCGCTACCAGACTCAGGTTTAATGTCCCGACAAAAAAAATGACATTGATGAAAAGATGTAAAAAGATAGATGATCAAACTCTATTATTTTTTAGGCCTGAACGGACAAGCCCTATGGTCCACTCATTTAATATCTCCCGTAAATCGCACGAGCTACTTAACGGACAAGTTCTGTTGAAATAACTCATTAATAGTTATGTCCCGTGCATCGCACGGGTTACGTGTTAGTTTTAATTTTATAGCATACTTCAGAAAGTATGATATTTTACGGCAATGAATGCATGAGTGTGCGTTTTTGTTCTTCGAAGTGCCTGCAGTGAGGGATCTAGGAATTCACTTAGGGGGTCCCAATTTTAAATGTTAAATAACGAATTTATAATTTAAGTCGAAACACTCATTTCATATAAAAATGTAATTATTATAAATATAGTTATCGATAGGTGTACCATCAAGTTTTTAAAAACTTAGAATCCGTATCACCCTCAAACTTTTTTTTTTTCGAAAAAAAAAGAGATTTCAGGTACTAATAATTTAACTTCAACATCTATAAATTATGAAAAAAAATTTTTTTTGTTGAAAATTTGATTTAAATTGAACTTTTCCAGTAAATTGCATAACATTTTTGTTGATGAGAGCTTACCAAATGACATTTTTTAATAAGAAAATAAATAAAGTTAAAAATATGTGATTACACTAAAAAAAGTAAAAAATCAATATTAAAATCGTAACAATCCAACTAAATACTCGATTTTATAAATCAAAAAATAGATTTACAATTAAGAGACCGAATGATTAAATCATTTATATATTTTCAAACCTTATAAAGAAATATAAAATATAATGATTGTTAGTACATTTTTTAATAAATAAATAATATTATTAATTTAATTAAAATTGCAAATAAAATAGGTTATAATTATTAATATATTGTAAATATTTTTTGCATATCTATACATATTTTAAGGAATTATATANTATTGAATTTTACAAAAAAAAAATAAAAATGAGGGGTCCTGGGCCTCATATGGCTCCGTCTTTGACTGCCTGATTAGATATAGATTATTCTGGGAAAAAATTGTACGACTGGAAAAAATGAGTTAGAGAGTAATAAAATTATTTTGGTGGAAGAATAAAATAGTTTTTAAGATTGTGAAGGGAAAAGAGATAAAAGTAATTATTAAAGGTAATATATAAAAATAATAAAATAATAAATATGATTGATTTGTAGTAAAAAATATGTAAGGTGATGAACGATTAATTTAATAAAATTGTATAATAATAACTATTTTTTATTTTTATTTTTTAATTAACTATATTTATAATATTTAGGAGATAAATATTATCAATATAATTAACTATCCAAATGATTAACTATAATTAAATTTAACTTAATTCAACACTACTAATATTATCGATTTAAATTAAATAATATCATTCAATTAACCCCACAAATCATATCAAGTCACATAATTTTAACTATCTATCGCTTTAAATCACCCCTCTCATACTATTACATAAAACTAACTTCAATTATTATTATTTAAATATTATTTTAATACAAATTTGAAATCTCGTTCAAACCTAACTCAATCAATTTTTTTAAAATTAACTCCACTTATCCAATAATCTCAAATTACTTGATATCCAATCACCTTAACAATTAGATTGACGCGTAATAGAATATGTGATTCAAAGTCAAGCCTGGAGGCCTGCCTAAATTCATTTAAATGTTATGCTCCCAATAATTTTGAGGCCCACCTCACATAAAATTGGCTTGCAACTTTTCTTAAGCCACAATAAAAATTGCCTCCTTGCTTGTGTGTAATTAGTAAGCCAAACTAACTGAGGCTGTTGTGGCACATTCCTCTTGGTTATTGACTTATTAAGTCAAGGCAAGACAGATGCGTTGGCCAAGAGAAAACACTCCGAGGCAAGAAAATTGATTGATGTAAAACAAGCATCATGTAAAATTGATTGATCCTTTAGGGTGCAATTGAATATAACATTGATTGGTTTTTGATTGATTTTTTTGCTACTTATAATTAATTTTAAAAAGATGGTATTGTTATTTGTTAGTAAAAATTTAAGTTTAAATTAAAATAATAGTTAAAATAAAATAATCAAAGTTGAATTGATGTAAAAAAGGGAGAAAAATGACTAGAAGTGATAGTTAAATTATGTGAGTGTATGAAAAATGAATTAAAGTTGATGTGATGTGTAAGAATAATTAGTTGATATTATTTAATTATATTGATAATATGAAGATAGTGGGTATGTGTTAAAATTGAGTTACATTTGAGCTTTGATTGATTTTTTTGTTAANAACTAATAATTAAAGTTGATTTGATATAAGAGTAGGAAATAAATGATGTGAAGTGATGGTTATTTAAGATATATAAGTGAATGAATCGTGAATTAAAGTTGATGTAAATATGTTAGAATGATTGATTGATCATATTTAATTATATTGATAATAATGGCGATAGTGGGTTGAGTTAGATTTGAGTTAAAAAAAAATGACTAAAAATAATGTGAATTTTTTTAGATAACTTGTATCCAAGCATCCTCTTACCTTTCCTTTTTTAACTTGTGTAAGATTTATAATGGGGCAAGAGGGTGCGGTTCCACGTAGGTAAATCGCACCATAAGAGGGCAAGCTTAGGTGCACCATAATGAAGTTTCATCCTAAAATCAATTGGTGATAGAAGGAGTAACCCACTAGGTATATAAACTAGGCCAATTTTCCCTATTAAATCAATATGTGACAACTTATAACAAAAATTCTATGGAGCCATCGGATGATTTTCTTATACAGCCATCCACCATTTAATGTATTGACACGTGTCTAACGTGTATTTATTGTAGGACACGTGTCAATACACTATTGGTGAATAAGTGTGGATGACTCCATAAGCCGAGCCATTCGATGACTCCATTGCAAAAGTGTAACTTATAAATGATATTCCAACAACTTGAAAAAAACAATGTTGGCTCTACTGTTGTGCATTGAATCCAGCCACTTTCAGGGCCCCCAGCCCACCCGATGGCCAATGGCGAAAAGAATCAAATCGAGACATCGGATGAAAATACTTCCATAGACACAAACATGTATGCAAATTATGTCCATGCACAGGGCTCGACGCATGCAAGTTCGTGAGAATGAAGTGCATTTTGATCAATTGGTTGGACGAGCTTTTTTTTTTTTTTTTTNCTGCAAAACAATTGCATTATTAAATATGTCATAGGTCATAACTAGAATTGACCAGGCAAAACGTGGATTAGTTATGATATAAATAGCATGAGACAAGCCATGTGTTTCATAAATACAAAATGATATCACACTAACAATCTTCATTACCTAAATCTAAAAAACATACTAAGATAGAGATCATGATAGCAAAATGATCTCAAACTGAAACCTTGTTAATACCTAATACTCTATATATTAAGATGTAACCTAGATTCAATAATCTCAAGCTGACAGCAGATTTATAGTTACTGCAGGGAACATGGCAACAGCCAATCTCTCCGGATTCGAGTATTTCCTCCTAACAGCTTTAAGTGCACTTTCTGTTAAGCTCGAGTGGAGGCTCACCAACCGCTTCGCGCATTCCCTGATATACACAAATGAATTCATAAGAAAGTAGAAAAAAAGAAAATACATAATTTGAGACAAAGAATGAGAAAGAGCATAATTTATTTATTTTTATTTTTTTATTTTTTTTTTACGTACAGAAGCTGATTCTCAGAATAGCCAGTATAGTGTTGGAGAGTCTCAGTCCAGAAGGGAGCTCGATTCAGGGTGCAACGAGCAGCATACACTGCAGATGCAGAAAGCTTTGAAGAATTGTACTCTATGCTGGTCGAGTAGTTCACCATTCCGAGTTCGGCAAAGAATAACGTCATGTGTTCCATCTCATCATCTTCTGGAGAAGAGGCTTTTATGTATCGAATGAGAAAGACGTATGGAGTAGGCACTGTTAGATACCACTCCAACTGCCCAAGAATCGCTTTTTCCATGAGAAGCACTTGTTGTCTGGTATAAGCATTATCTGATATTGCTATGAAGTCACTCACCTGAAAAAAAAATAACGACAAACAGTTGATGGGTTTTACAACTAACTTGAATCACATTACATGAATAATAGTCAAAAAGAATTATTAGGTTTAAGTTGAGATTTTTGACCTCCGGTGCCCATATCTCCTCATACTTGCAAGCAATTAGCATTGAGCTTATGCCGACCAGCTGAAGTTCTTCCCTTGGAACCATTTTCATTGACAGAAACCTGTCGAGTATGTTGATTGTTAGGTAAAGGCTTTCGGGCATTAGTTTGAATTTCTTGTGGACTTCAATTAGCCAGTCAACGAGAATGGCTCTCATTTTAGAGTTCACTTCTGGTTGTGAATCCATGTAATCATGAACTCTGCAATCCTCCTGAACAAAGATCAATCATGAAGCTAGTCATATATTATGAGGCCTATTTTGCAAAACAAGGCATATGACATTTTTCTAAGTTGCAAAAATACACTACCTCAGTTAGCTTATAAAACCTATACATATCTTCAACATATTCTACTGCAGCTAATTCATCATCCACGTCGCCTGCATCAATATCGACGATCGGAAATTTTCTCTTCGTGGTAAGCCCACAAGCAGCCTAAAAAGTATGAAAACAACAAAATTAATACAACAACAAACAACAACAACAACATACCCAGTATATTCCCAACAGGTTGGGGTCTGGGGGGTCAATTGTACGCAAACCTTACCCTTGTAATTATATAAGGAGGCTGTTTCCGTAGCGACCCAAGGTGCATTGCGCCGTTTGATATATATATATATATTTTTTTTTCTAGAAACTTCACTAATAGAGAAGAAGCACTAGAATTTAATTGAGCCATTTTGATCTAGTCCATTATTAGCACTATGCTAGGAGAATTGTCAACAATGACTCTTCCAGCACCATTTGCAATGGACAGAAGGGGGAAGAGAGTACTAAGTGAAATAAATAAATGCATACCCTGCCTCTAGCAGTAAGGATACCAGTGAGAGTTTTGTTGGGTTTCTTTGATGTTTTCTTTGCTATTCCAACACTTTCGTAGCTTTCTTCTTCGTCAGAGCTAATGACAATCAATTCTTGTTTATTTGGTTTGTGAACATGTTCCTTCTTACTAGCTTTGGCTTTTGCAGCACAATCTTTTTCCAATGGTTTCTGCACATGCCAATGATAATTAGGTGGGCCACCAAGAAAGGGATAAAAATTTAAAAACTGCCCTTGGTTTTAGATAATTCCAGAAATGGTCCAGTTTTATGGTTCAATTTGATAGTACCCTTCATAGTTAGTGTATTTGTAATTTTAAAAACATAACAATGTCAAATTCTTAAATGTTATCTAATAGTGAACTATCTGTGACATCAATGTAAAACGAAATCGAGTTAGAGAGAAACAAAAGGAAGAAAATATCAAAATCATGCCTTGAGATTGTTGTTCTCTACTGCTTCTTCTTTTCCTTTGGCTAATGTCTGCATGCCAAAGCTCCTGAACCAGGAAACAAAAAATAACTAACTTTTATCAATTTACAATAATATTACTCGGCTTCCAAAACCGTGTCATCGTGTGTGAAGTTTTGCGTGTAGAATTTACAGAACCTTGTAATATTTTGGGGCTTTCCATCAACAGCTGGTGCAGATACCAAGTTCCCAATGTCTCTCAGAACACGCCTATTTCTACCTTCGGCTTTCGCATTTTTCTGCTTTCCTCCTTCAACTAAACATATTACAAAAAATATTTACAAACACCATTCAAAAGATTGTACAAAAGAACCGACCAAGAAATCAATACAGAGGCGGATAAAACCCCACAAACATCAATTCTATCATCTCAACAAACCCTCCAATAATAAAGCATCAAACTTTACCACTAACCCTAACAAAAAAATCAATAAACACACCAAAAATAACGATAATTAGCATTACTTATAATATTATATACCTCTGGCTTCCTCAAGAACACCAACATCAGCCCTCGAGCCCATCTCTGAACCAAACCCTTGTTCTGTTTCAATTTGTTGTTGATGATTATCGGTTTCATAGTTATATCCGCCTCCGCCAAAGACCACTCCTAGGCTGGCCCAAAACGAGGACAGAAAAACGTGGAGACGACGGCCGTTGCCCGCCTCCTCTCCGACTTCTGGGCTTTCGTCCGCCACCGTGCAGGAACTTGTCTACGCCTTTATCTCTAGAATTCCTTACTTTTTGGAAAACCAAGGGTTGAGAGAGAGAAAAGTTTCAGGGGTGAGTTGGGATGTGAAATAGGGGATAATGACGGACGCCTCTGTGTTGGCAACGGTCAATTGTTTTTAACATTTGAATGTAATCCGTTTGGATTCGTGAGGATTACGGTTCGGATTAGAAAAGGCTGTGCAAGGCTTTTTTTTACTAGCCGTTAGAATGGAGAATGGTGGAGCCTTGAAGAATGTTACCGTCTATCGAATGAATTCATTGATTTGTGAATTGTGGATTTTGAATTTTCTTAGTTTTTTCTTCATGTGAAAAATATGCTTCTATTTATTAAGGGTGATACTATTTACCGCCTCTCATTTTACTACTCACCGCTCCCTTGGACGAATTTGCCCTTTTCATTTTTTCTAAACATCTCAGAGGAAAGTGTACGGTGAAATATCGTCAAATTCCGAGGTACGAAAAATTTTGTATCCGGCCATCGGAACCGGACGGATTTTAAGCCGTCCGGGCGGCCGGTGCGGACGGGTTAAAAGCCGTCCGGTTAGTTCGGCCGGTCGGACGGGCTATGTCCGAACCGGCCGGCCGGACGGCTTAACAGCCGTCCGAAAACGACGGCCGGACATAATTTTTTTTAATTATTATGTTATATATTCGAAATAATTATGTTATAAATTAGACTATATTATTCTGTTATAAATCATTATGTTACATTTTAGACTTGATTATACTATAAATTGGACGTTTATCGTGTTAGAAGTTATAAATTATTATGTTACATGTTGATTATAATATAAATTGGACGTTAGATATTATCGTGTTACGAGTTAGAAATTATTATATTACATGTTAGTCTTGGTTATGTTATAAATTGACGTTAGATAGTATCGTGTTAGGAGTAACAAATTATTATGTTACATGTTATAGTTGATTATATTATAAATTGGACGTTAGATATTATCGTGATCGTGTTAGGAGTTACAAATTATTGTGTTACATGTTAGACTTCATTATGCTATAAATTGGACATTAGATAATATCATGTTATGAGTTATAAATTATTATGTTACATGCTAGAATTAATTATCTCAATTTAACATGTTCTAAAAATATAAATATTGTACTATATAACAGAAGTCATGGGAAGATTTTGGAGGAGATGGTGTTGATTACAGTCTGAGTTTCGATACCTGTACATTATATAATAGTGCTCAGGACGCTTTGAAGCTGCAAAACACCAGACAATGCTGAATGGTTTCCTATTAATAATTTCGAGCCACAAAAAGAAAACGGTCAGGTTTTTGAAGTGCCATAGAGGCGAAAATTCTAGAAAGATAAAAACGAATAAGTGCGGCTGCAATTTTGAGATCAAAGTAAAAAAGGTGTCCGGCGTTCCATACTGGAGGATCTGTAGATGTAGCAATAAAGAGAAGGGCTACCATAACCATACATCTTATGTGTATCCTGAGGGTCATCGCCAGTTGAGCGGCCTCAGCGCTTCATCTAAGAAAATTGTTCGTGATATGACGGACGCTCAGGTGGCCCCGACAAAAATTATGGCCGCGCTGAAGGAAAATAATCCGGGAGACAACGTTCATGTGCGACAGTATATATATTTATATCTTGTGATATATGTTTTAATTAACTTTTTGAAGTTAATTATGATCATTAGTAATTTTTTATATGTAAAAGTTATTGTAATAATTAATAAATTTTATTATATTTACTAATGTATTATTATTGTGATAGTTAATTTTTTTTTTATCAAATTAATCGCATTAATATTCTTTTTTATTTATTAACATAATATTTTTTCTTAAATTATAGTAATTATTATAATTAACGCTAATCGGTGACAGGTATATAACTTTAGAGATAAGTTGCGGAAAGAGAGTTTCGACGGTAGAGACGTTCCTTCCCAGCTTATGCATTTGGCCGTGAGCAGCGAGTATACAGTTTATGTAGAATCAGATCCGAACACGAAAGCGTTGACGCATATATCCATGGCCCATCCTGCGTCGATCAATCTATTCTGGACATATCACTGGTATGTCGGCATAGATTCCACGTATAAAACCAACAGATATGCTACTTTATAAATACTTTATTAGTACGAATCTTAAATAGTGTGTTTGATTAAGTAAACTTTTATTTGATTACATTTTTTGTCTTCTTGGTCTCATTTTCACAAGTACAAGATGTCGTTGGTCGAGATGATTGGGATGACACCGTGCAACCAGAACTTCCTAATTGCGTATGCGCTCATCAGGGACGAGAAAGAGGCCAGTTACGACTGGGTTCTAGAGAAGTTGAGACTACTGATAGGCCAAGACGAATATCCTTATGTTGTTTTCAGTGACAGAGAGTTGGGTTTACTCACTCCTATTCAGAGGCATTTTCCTGAATCAGCCACTTACTCAGCACGTGGCACATCAACAAGGATGTGGAAGACAAAACCTACAAACTATTTGGGAAGAGTAAAAAATTCTCGGAGATTTTTAGGCACAGTACGTGGAAGGCGATTGCAGAAGCCAGTACGTTTGATGCCTACACCGATGTCGTTGCCGAGCTGCACGCAAAATATTCAAAGTCTTCAGAACTGATACGGTATGTGGAGGGAACATGGTTAGGGCACCACGAGAAGTTTGTGAAGGCTTGGACCAACCAAGTGACACATTTTGGAAACACAACTTCCTGTAGGGTGGAGAGTGCCCACTATGTGTTGAAGGAGTGGCTTCAGACGTCCACCGGCGCGCTCGATACAATTTGGCAGAAGATTAATAAACACATCGATAATCAAGTTATTGAAATCAAGTACGTACTGCAATTTTTAAATGCGTTATTATATTACTGCATTAATTAATTATAATTTAACGTTATGTAACGTATTATCAGGACGGCGCTTGAGGCCTCGAGATCTAAGAAGAATACACGGTATAAGGGAATCCTTTTCGCGAGCGTGATACTGAGGGTCTCGCATTACTGTCTGAGTTTATTGGACGCTGAGCTTACGAGGATGCACGACTTGGACGCCGATGTTTACACTAGCTGCTGTTGTGTATTGCAGCTCACTCATGGACTTCCTTGTGCCTGTCTGCTCCGCAACGCAGTTGATTTCAACATTTTGATTGATCTCGGAATGATTCACCAGTTCTGGAGAACGCTACAGATATTAGAGTCAGCTAATTTAAGGTTAATGTTTTATTTATAATTTTTTATTAAAATACATTATTTGGTTTAATTCATTGATTTTTTTATCGTATACTTGTAGGGACTGGTCATCAGAGCCAGGCGAGCCATGCTGCATGGTCAGATGCGGAGTTCTTTCAGAAGCTTGTGAGTGAGGTTGAAACCCGCGATCCCGCGACGATGCGGTATGTGAATCAGTTCATGTACAGTCAGTCATCTTTACCCAGACCAACAGGATTATGCGGAACCTGAAGGATAACCCGCGAGGTTATCCCAAGAAAACTAATTCAACTAAGCGTAAACCATTTGCTTTTGAGTACAACGATAGATCGCGAGGTCGGAAATCGAGCTGTACGACCACTTCTTCGCGTGGACAGACAAGTTCGTCTTCTCAACAGTCACAAGGGGAAGAAGGTCATACATTTTTTTTTTTAAATATGGCTGAGCGTTAATTAAAGTATTTATATGATTATACAAATTGTGACGTGAAAATTATGATATTTATTGCAGAGTTTAGACCGACAAAATATCCCCTGCAGCAGCCTCAAAATGCTCAACCCTGTAGTTCCTAGACTCCCAAGCACGTACTGCACTGATTGGCGGGTATGTAGGGGGAGGTACAGTCTGGACTTACCCCAACTGACGCAGACACCGCGCAGGCAAGTACGGCTCGACGACATCACGGTATCGAATCAATCTGCTATAAAGAGTCCTCGGCTCTATCGCATCTGGGCTAGAGCTGCCGTATGGCAACCATTGCACCTGTTCACAATTGCATAAAAGCATTTATAAAAATAATTATATTATTTTAAATAACGGATAACTAAATTTAAATAAAATAACTTCACGTACATCGGAGGCAGTGAGTCTGTCGAGGCGCCGACGGATGGCTGTGAGCCGATCGTCTGACCGTGGCGCATTCCCTATGCTCCACGAGCGTGATCGTGCGTGACAGTCAGGACCGATGGATAGACGCCCCCGGGGTCGGAAATCGGGGAAATACTCATATATCCAAGACTGCAGAAGAGTCAAGCAGCCCGACATCTGGGCAGAGTCCCCTCGGCTGGCAATACCTAGTTATCTGTACATGTATGCCAGTGTAGCCGATCCCCATGAGTAACCCCCAATCAAATTCAAGCCGTCGAGCACCTCGTGCAGGAGCTTGGGGGTCACTCTACTATCACTCTTGTCGACGAACAATGTGGTAGCCAGCATCACCCACATCCAGGCACCAGCCTCATCCCTAGCCGACCGACCTTTCCCCCTGAATGCCCACGAAATGGCGGCTTCGGACACCGAACCACGCTGCCAGAACGAACTCATGAGTTCGCCCTTGGTGACCGAAAGTATCGACATGCAGAGCCCATGGCAGGCGTCCGAATCCGGGTCCTCAGCGACCACGGCTCCCTCCACAGGAACGCCCAAAATGGCCTGGACGTCGTGCAGCATGATGCTCATTTCACCAAAAGGCAGGTGAAACGAGTTAGTATCCGGCTGCCATCGCTTCACAAACGCAGAAAGGAGTGGGGTGTCCAAGTGGATGTGCATGGAGCCGGCCAAATGTGACATCCCGGTCTGGTCGAGAAGAGCTCTATCATCGGAAGACATCTCTTCACGCCAAGCCTTCAGATTGTCGATCGCTCTCAGTCTGTTGTGGCATTTCAGCGGCCCCCTCAAATCTCCACTCCACATGCGGGAGGCGACGTGCCCTAGAAAGCTAGGGATGACACTCCCATCAATGGGCCCACCGGGCACCGGGCCTTTAACGATCCAGGGTGCATCATCGGTCCTAGCTCGTTTGCTAGTACCCGCATTAAAATACAACATATATGTATATATTGACTTGCTGCAGATGCATTAAATAAAATATATTTAATAAAACATATTTCATAAGTTTCCCGTTCTTTTTTTTTTCAATTAATGTACAAACGTTACATTTTACATTAATAAAATATAATGAAGATTTTAAACTAATTTATTATGTAACATTACTACTAATTGATTATAACAATAATAAAAATAATTATAATAATTTTCTAACTAATTAATCGTATGGTTCCTCTAAATTACAAA